GAATATTTTACAGGTATTTATTAATAAAATTAGTACACAAGGGGATTATCGACTATGAATTTTATATGCATAACATGTGTTTGAGCACAACATAAGCTCTTTATCCGTGGATATCAAATTTGGACAGGGCACGTTTTAAATGTAAAATACCCTTCGGTCAGAATACGACGAAATTTTGATATATTGTAGAACTTGACTTATTGGTCAAATATTCCCGTTGCGCCAAAGCTTCAAGTTTAACAGTTTTTGATTTACAGGGTATCCAAAATCACTATTTCATAATTTAACATTATCATTAAATGAATGTTTTTGTCAATATTAGCACAAAAATAAGTAGAACCTTTTTATTTTTTTAGAACTAACCAGAATTCTCTATTTGCTTAGATATTTTTTGTACATACAACTGATGCAAAAAATGTACGGTGGAATTATTTTGATATTTTGGTAAAAGGAAGCAAATACATATATATATTTGCATTTATATTATTCTTATAAATTAATTCCATTAGACGTACAGAGTGTTTTATTTCTTTAAGATTTTTAAATGCTATCTGTATATACTTACAGAATGAAACGTTTTAACTAATTCCATTAGAGACTGAAATTGAGAATATATATGTATTGCTGATAATCCCTAAAAAGGACGAAATCAGTTCAAGAATGACATTACAATCAACGTTAGAGTTTTGAAATTAAATGTAAGCCAAAGGAGTAGTTGTTCGTATTTTGTGTACCATATGGTTTACTTTTTGTGTTAAAATATAAAGTAGTAATAAATGAATGTGTGCCATATTTCCAATATAAAACGAATAGTCGGCCATTTTGTATATCTATTTATGACTCACTGATTGTTTATGTGTCATTCAAAAGTTGATTTTTGTATTATATTTTGCAAGTTATTAGTTGTTGAACCATTTTTATTCGATAATAAAATAGTAGTTTGTGCAACAAGAGTGGATATGATGGCCATATCGCACGAACACAAAATTTAAGCACGACGCCGTAGGCGGAGTGCTCAATCGTCTGAGTGCGATGTGGACAATCCACTCGAGTTGTTCAGAATACTTTTTCTACGACCCACTAACGAAAATTTACAAGTAATAAAAATATTTTAGGTTATTTAGACAGAATAACTAATTTTAAAATAATTTATGAATTTAAATAATTTTTAAAATAAAATAAACGAAATGAAAAAAAAAAAAAAAAGAAAAAAGTTTATTTAATTTTTCCCCAATCTAGAATCGAACACGAGTCTTCAGTGTGAAAGACAAGAACACTAACCACCAATTCAGTTTTCTTCTTTTCCGTCTATGTTTAAGAGGAATCTCACAGCTACTTTCCACAAAGTGGATAGACCAAATTTATGCTAAAATAACATTTTACTGTCTCTAAACCTATTATACTTGTGCATTTTACTAACCATTATTTAAATTAAGTTTGGTAAGAATTTACCCACATTTTGTGGCATTCGAAAATTACAATATTATTGTATTCCGTATTATGGTTTTTGCAAGTCGCCACCACACAGCCCGGAATTTTAAACATTAAGTCAGTTCTTCTCTATTATATACAGGAAAATATAGTCACTACTAACACTAACACAAAAACAAGCAAATAATATATTAAATTATTTTACACTATTCAATCGAAAAGTATCAAAATAACTTGAAAGTCCGTCCCGCATTACGTTACTGCGCGGTTTGGACGAAATTTGAATCGAAAATCAGCATACCTTTAGTCTATCTATCGTGAGCTCAATTTAAATAAATATTAATGGTTCTTAGGAGTTTTTAGAATTTGTTTTAAATGACAAGTCCATAAGGGGTCTAAGTAATATTAATAACCACTACATTTTTGGCATGGTCTCAGACTCGTTAGTTTCTCGATAGCACATAAAAAACTCATACCACATTCTAGAGGTAAGCGTATGAAACAGATGGTAAAATCTTCCCTCAGGCAGACTGTACGTTGTACATAGATGGCTAGAAAACTAAAACAGGAATAGGAGCTGGATATTTTGGTCCGAAGCAAAGAGTTGACATATTAATAAACCTTGCGCCAAGATCTTCCAAGCAGTAATGATTGCTATAGAATCGGAAAGGGAAAAGTTGATACATTTTCGTTCAGCAAAAAGCAGTATAAAGATGTTTTTAGTCAGTCAGGCAGCCCCCAAAGCCCTGAGCTCCGAGTTAACTCAAAGTCTCAAAAGTGAATAAACAACCTCGAGTGTCTCGGTGCCTGAAAGAAGTTACTTTGGTGTGGGTTCGAGGAATGAAAAAGCCGACGTGCTCGCTATAGGAGGAAGTTCAAAAGACAAGAAACATTCCTTAATATTGCAAAGAGCACTGCCAACAAAAATATATCAAAATAGACAGAAGGTGTAACAGGAAATAAAGAGATACTAATTTATTTAAAGGCGTTTGAAGCTAACCCTTACATGAACACTATTGCTCATATTTAGGAACAGGTATTTTTGACTAGATAACCACATAATAAGAATAGGTCAGCAACAAACGTCGGATTCTGCAGTATGGAAGACGAAATCGCAGATCACATTCTTTGTACCTGCACCGTTGTAGAAAAAACTAGGGTCAAGATCTTCAAATTCATCCGACTAAAGCTCACCGAATTTGAACAGGTCTCATCCAACTCTACCATGGCCTTCATAAGAAGGTATAACTTTGCGGTCAACTGTAAGTTAGACACAATAGATCCATCTGGGTGGAACTATGGTCACCTTCTGAAGCGATAGCTGAGAAGCGACCTTCTTTACGATAGTTAAGTGAAGTGGTACTATGTTCAAAACCACGTCAAAATAAAGGAAAAAGTAATTATGTTGGATATTGGCAGTTGCCACTTTGCATCTGAATTTTAAGTATAACAACAATAACCAATAGGTCTCTTCCCTTGCATCGAAAGTGTACCACAATCTGTATAATTGGAACGATTTTTTTAGAACTGGCGTAGCTCTGTGCTACACTTCCGATGTAAAGGAAAAGATGTATTATAACTATGATATAACTAACTGATTGATTAGTGTCAGCAGTAAAATGTGAATGTATTTATTTATCCAAGTAATTTATTTGCTAAAAATGAGATTGCGACCTAAGCATTACGAAGGTATTCTTAATTATACAGATAAATATCCAGGCAGAACTAAAAATAAATTTACGAGAGGAGCGGGAAATGCATGCTCAAAAATAAATTAGTTCGTTAGGGTAAAATAACATCTCAAGTTAAAAATTATATTGACAAATATAGGAAAAGGCAAGATGTGGTTCATAATTATGTCCTCTCTATTCCTCTGAGGTGTTGCCTTCTGCCGACAGAAATGTCTCGAAAAATCGCTTCAAGGATATGTAGTTAAAAGAACATAGTTCAAAAAGCGACATTTGTAAGACGACATCGCTGCAACACCTGAACATGGATCGCAGTGAAATGCGATAAAATCATCCAACTGTTTTTTAACCTGACTAAACCTAAGCAGGAATAAGATCTAATTAATGTTTATATAAAAAAAGAAATAACGATACCTGATTTAAATAATTTATGATTTAGTTTACAAGGAAAATGGATATGGATTTTTGACAGTAAATACGTATAAAATGACACAAATTTCACAAAACAGTAATTAGTTCTTCTAGTGGGCAAGCCTATTTGCTTCTATTTGTTCTTATTTATTCATTTAGAATATTTAATTATTACCTAATTGTTAATTACAGCTTTCTTGCCACACCTGTTTTCTTTTTAATCCAAAGCAAGCCAAAAATTAATTAATCACATGTAATACTGAACACTGCTATTGCCGTTTAACTTTAGGGGTTTTTTCCATTAGCCAAACTCTAAATGCTAATTCTGCTAACCGTTTGCGTGTTTGTATTTGTAGTTTAATTTTCTTCTGCAGAGCGCTCTGAGCTTCCTTCCTTTTTAATTCATCTTTCTCTTTCTGCTCTAACCATATTTTGAATAATTTTTCACCCATCACTTCTTTCTGTCGCTTCTCTTCCTGCTCTTCGATTAATTTTTTTTGTTGCATTTCCTTTTGCCGCTTTAATAACTTCTTTTCTCTTTGTTTCATCGTTTTCCAGTACACGAAAACATTCCTGAGATACTTTTCTCTATCAGCTACTAACCTGAGTTTTTGCAACGACATACGGCGTTCCTGTTTTATTTTTTTCTTTCGCTCTAGTTCTTTTTGTTTCATCCATTTTTCAATCTGATACTCCTTTATTCTAGGGCTCAAACTTATGACCTCGTCCATGCGATCTTCAATGGATTTTTTTATGCAAATATTACTCATGATTTATATACAAGAATTTAGTAATATTAATTGTGAATTCTAATGGGATGAAAATCTTTTCGATGATGTTCGAATTTGATAGACTGAAATTTGAAAGATGTACAAATTTGACACATGTATTATACAGGGTGTCTGGAAATTGCATATACATAGAACTACCACACATTTATGTGAAACAAATTGTGGCTTCGTTTTATCCATTTTTGTCGAACATTCCAACGTAGAAACGTGCGGAATAATTTTTCCAGCAACAATTGTGACTGGAGTTGCCACTCAAAAAGTTTTATTAATTTTACTATTGCAGGACATACGGTAATTATGGTGTTCAGCAAACAAACATCAGAAAAGTGTTTTCAACTCAAGGTGATTAATATTGCCCTCATTCTTTCAATGGCACCTTTATACATATTGGGTACACATCATAACGTCCATAAATGTATCAGCCCTGCATAACTCTTATCAATTTATGTTAATTTAGGGATCAAATATAAATAAATTACCATCCTTAAAAAAAAAATTAAATAACTGTCATTTGGTTATTTGAAAATTCTCCAATTTTGTGTTTACATAGAATTGTTTTAAAATAGAATTTAAATGTGTGTGTAGTTAGTGTTTATTGGTACCTAATGTATATGTTAGCCATTCCTTTCTTTGCCTTAGATTTTCCACGTTCTCTGTGAGCAACGCTTGAATTAAAATGGGATTCAATTCTAAATGTTTTCGGATCAGCGTCTAAATATAATAAAGAGCGTTTCTTACATATTCGAGAATAAAAAAAAAATAAGTAAATAACGTTTGTTTGTAAATATTTCACTTATGAATATTCCATTTTATCTATATTTACATACTCAATTACAAATACTTCAAGTAGTGACAAACCAATAAAAATAGACTGCCAATTTATTTCCTTACAACTGCTTTTGATGTAGATGGTCCCGCTAAAGATTCTCGTGGGGTAGCTCTACTTTTTGATTCTTTTAACCATATTTTAAAAGCTTTGTTACCCATTTCTCTGCGTTTTTGTTGTTCCAATAGAAATTCTTCGTGTCTAACTTTTTGCTCTTCTTTTCTTTGTAAATCAGCTGCATGCTTTAGCATTAACCACTTTCTGTACATATTTCTACTTCCCTCTTGTATCCTCATTAGGGTTTCGTTTTCCTTTTCCAACTCGGCCTCTCTTACCCGTTCCTCTTGCATTGCAATTTCTTCCTCTTCCCTTTTTCTTTCTCTCCATTTTTCAAGAGCGTCCATCTTTAGAATCTCCTCTTCATTCTTTTCCATTCGTCGTCTCTTTAAATATGCTTGTCGTTCCCTAAACTTTTGCTTGACCTCTTCCTCTTTGTTTATCATCCATTGTCTGAGTCTTTCCTGTTTTTCTTTAGGATCAATATTAACGATTTTTTCGATCCGTTGCTTGAGAGATGGTTGCGAGGGGTCCGTTCGATTCATGAATACGTTTTAAAATGCTTTTTTACTGGAATTTGTGTGAGGTTCTGTAATGTTGGGTAATGACTTAAAATTTTTGACATGTTGGAGCTGTTAGTGAATTGACAACTAAATGGTTTCTTAAGGCCTGTTCCAACAACGATCCGAAACCAGTCATTGATACCAGGATTCTGCGCAGTAGATTATTAAAACCGTCAAATATGTGGAATTAATAACAATAAATAAAGATTTCCTAATACTAAATGAATTAAAGTTAAAACAAATATTGTATGGTTAACACTAATAAATATGATTTGTTACTATTAAAAATCAGACGGCACCGTTTATTTCTTAACTACATAGGGTAAACCACCCAATTGTTGACACTCTAAGTAAAGATTCTTAAATTTTTGACAATATAACCCAAAATTCTATAATAAGTTACCATATATATGTTTTCTTTCTATCTAGTGATATTAATATTTAATCTGGAACAGATGGAATAGATAATTTGTGATGGGAAATATTAAAAACTAAAAGTTCCAATAAAGGTCAATTTTCCAGTTATTGACACCTAAAAAAGCCATTTCCAGTCATTGACACCGTTCTAATAGAGCTAGTAATGAAACATATGCAGCTTCGTATTATGGCATGGTTATTTATTAAATAGAAATAATAACATAAACCAAACATTAAACAAATCCCAAAATACATCATGTAATTAAAATGTAAAAGTTAGAACTAAATTAAAGTACAAAAATACAATACAACCGACCCTCGTTTTTTATTAGGTATCGAGTACAAAATAAATCATTATTCCGAGCACTCAATGTAGGACGACCATGGAGCCACCATAATGTAAGGAATTTGTGTTAAAATGTTTGCTAAAAAGTAATTATACTACCAAAGTCAAAAAAACTCCTAGCAGCTATGAGTAGCGGTTATTTAATTTTTTAACTCTATCAAAAAGTTTTGGTATAGTGAGGCAAGGCGCAACCTATGAGAACTTGAAATAGTAATTATTACATGCTGGAAATAATTATGAATAAATAATGTTCTTTTAGGGCTCTCTGTTTTTTTGCATATGATACACACACATTTTTCCCTTCTTATTTTTATAAACATTGGCATCGTTTACAAACAAAAAATTCTATATACATTTGGTGCTTTTGTAAACATTTGACATGGTAACCTCTGTTGCATGTTGTACATTTTATTCCTAATGTTATATGTACACGTGCAACACAATCCTTGTTTCACGATAGTGCTTTTGGTGCTTGTTTCAGACCATAAAGTGCCTTTTTTAATAAACAAACTTTATTTTTGTCGCTTTCTTTAACCTTAAGTCCTTCAGGAATTTTCATAAAAACTCTTTCTTTTAAAATACTGTTTAAAAAGGCGGTTTTCACATCTAACTGTTCCAGAAACAGCTTATAATTATTACAAATAGTCAACAGTATTCTAAGGGTTGATAATCTTGCAACTGGAGCATATTCTGCTCAAAACCTCTAGCAACTAACCTTGCCTTATATATTTGCTTACCTTCTCCACCTTCTTTAAATGTAAACAACCATCTATTACTTATTACTTCTTCTTTTTCTGGCTTTTCAACTAATTCACATGTCTCATTATCTTGTAAAGCATTTATCTCTTCTTCAACTGCTTTCTTTCATAAATCTGTTTTGCTTCTAAATATGATTTTGGTGCATCTGAAAATTCACTTAATAATACCAAACAACTTATATTCATCTCATATTCGTCAAATTTTGTTGGCAATTTCCTTGCTCTTCTTAGTCTTTCATTTTCTTCTATATTTTCAGGTCTATCAACAATTTCTTTAATAACTTCTTCTTTTTCTTCTTCATTAATAACATTCTCAGATTCCACTTCATTTTCTTCTTCATCCAAATCATTATTCCTATAAACCTTTATTTCTTTTAACATAAAATTATTTTCATCAAAAACTACATTTCTACAATGAATAAGTTTATTTTCTTCTTCGTACCATAATCGACAACCATTTTCTGTATAACCAATAAACCTGCATATTAGAAACATTTGGTTTCTTATTCAACCATAATTCATAAGGAGTTTTATTACTTACCAAACTTGACGGAGTTCTATTTGATATGTAAGCAGCTACAAGTACAGCATCCTCCCAAAAACTTTTGTGCATATTTGCTTGCATTATCATTGATCTCGCTCTGTCCATGAGTGTCTGGTTCATCCTTTCAGCAACACCATTAAGCTGAGGTGTATAAGGTGGCGTGTAAAAAATTTCAATACCCTTTTCTTTACAAAAATCTAATAATAATTTTGAACGATACTCACCTTCATTATCACATTTCAGTTTTGATATATTTTTACAAAATAGAGAAGTAACTTTAGCCTCATAATCTTTAAAACAAGCAAAAATATCATTTTTGTTCTATTACATTAACCATTAAAAATCTGGAATAATCATCTACAAAAGTAAAAAAATATTTGTTACCATTATATGATGTGAGTGTTATTGGACCATATACATCCGTATATTCTTGTTGTTTTTGAATAATATGGGTGACATTTCTGTTTTGCTTTAATACAAAACTCACATATTTTATCATCCCTAGTATTCAAAAACTCTATACCATTGACCAGTTGTTGATTTTTAAGTTTTTTTGAAGAATTAAAATTTAAATGACCATAATTTTTATGCCATAATTCTTTATCTACATTTACAGAAACGTTAGCATAATCAGTATTATTAAGCTTGAAATCTATTTTATATAAATTACTTGTACGTTTACCTTCTACCAAAACAATATTATTCCTTTAATAACTATTTTAGCATTTGAACATACAATTTCAAAACCTGCCTTTTCAATAGTTGAAATAGATAATAAATTTACCCTTAAGCCTGGTACACACATTACATTTTTTAATAATATTTATTTGATTTTCCCGTTTTCCAACTCACTAAACACTTTCACATTTCCAATACATGTTGCCTCCATCGATTTCCCTTTTTCTGCCAATTGAATCAACCTTGGTTCAAACAGTCTTCTTTTGTTAATAAGAACATTTTAATCGTTTATATAGTGATGTGTAGCTCCAGAATCAGCATATCATTCACTCATATTACCAAAACTTTGTGCAATTTGGGATTTTGTTGCACAAAAAGCAACTGGTTGCTCTTTTGACGTTGTACCACTATTATCGCCTACTGCATAACTTGCATTATTTCCATCTCTTTTATTTTGATTGCAAAATCTGGATTTATGTCCAAATCTGTGACAAGTGAAACATTTAACCCCACATACACTTTTCACATGCCCTAGTTTTCCACATTTAAAACATTTGACAGCCTTCTGTGTTACATCAAATGATGATGGGACATTGTTTTTCATTTTACTAGAATTTTTATTGACATGAAACTCTAATAATCGACTCTTTACAAATTCTATCTTTAAATCAATTTCAGCTAGGGTTCTAATTGCAGTTACCACATTTTTAAACTCTGGGGGCATTGACAATATCAAGAAGCATGAAATATCAGACTCGTCAAAATCACTTCCTAAATCTTTCAATTCTCTGAAGATTCTATCACATCTACTAAAGTGCTCCTGCATATCTGTCTCACATTTATATCTCAGGTTTATTAATTCTTTTAGTAAGTAGAATTTGGAACATGTACCTTTTTTATTAAAGATGTTTCCTAACTTATCTATCATTTCATTTGCAACTTCAATTTCTTAAATATACTCTAAATGCGAGTCTGCCACACTTTGAATTATGACCATGCACGCTTTATCATTCTTTTTGTTCCAACTATCATCTCTATCCGTAATCAGGACATTCTTCATTACTCTTCATCACTAAAGTTTAATGCTTTTAATACCGATCTTAGTCGAAATTTCCAATTGTCAAAACCACTCCCATTAAATGGTAGAGTACCATATTTATTTTAAGTTGCTTCTTCCATTTTTCTTGTCCATTTTCAAAAAACCAACACGTGCCTTTACTAGCCTTAATCTCACTTTTTCCGATGAATCTGATGAAGATTAATGTTTTTTTGTTTATATAAAATACCCAGATTTTTTATGTACATTGGAAAATAAAGTTATTTTAATTTCAAGAAATATGTTGTCACTTTATGCTGTGTTACAAATAGGGAAACAAAAATGTCAATTCTTAGGACTAACAATACATACCTGTTTTTTTTTTAGAACATTGTTTCATTTGGACGAAAAACATAATACTTTGGTCCTACAGTTACTAATAAAAAATTGTCTTGTGGCATTGGCAGCTTTTGATCGTAGGACCAGGATGTCGTACCACTTAATTTGTAGGACAATGTGGGCGTTCAATTATATTAATATTAACTAACCAATAGAAAAAAAGTCAGCTGGTTAGTAATTATTTTTCAAGACCTTGTTAATTATACATGTTGGAGAGGGGGGACTATTTGATAAAACCTTAAATTTTGTAGGACAAATATTTCCTCGGTTTATTTAGATAATTATCTTGGAAATTAACAAAGAAAAATTCAGTTGGTAATAAATTTTTGAAATTCGTCAAATCAACATATTTCACCCCCGCTACCCATGTTAGCTACCGTTTACCAAAATTGTAGTAAGGAAAAAAGTTGGGCGTCTCGTCAAAATGAAGCTACTCACAAAAAATCTACTTGTTAGTAATCATGGGTGAAAATGGGCCTGGGATACTGAACTAATTTATGTTTTTCGAAATTAAACAATTTGGGTTTGGAACATTTTTTAGATAAAGAGCAAAGTATTGTCTTATTAGAAACATTAAGTTGATAAATTATAGGTTGTTTCTTAGTTCTTGCATTAAATAAGAAAAATTAAAATTTGTATTAACTCAAACAACGACTATGAAAGAAAAGTTTTACTTGTTCTAATTAGGTACTTTACATTACTTCAGACAAATATTACAATATCAGTTTACATTTTTCACAAACTTAATACATAATACGTTCAAACTTATAAACAATAACGATGTGACAGTTTTAGATTTCTAACAATATTTACTACAATAACATATCAAATTTGAAACATTGCTCACTGGGACTTATTACGCACCATAACTTTGTTTTAAGGACGAAATCAAAAATGTTACTGTAAACTGCAAGACATTAGCAACTATTTTACATCTTCAAAGTATTTTAGCAACAATAAAATGTTAAATTGATTTTGCAATATTTGGTATGTACATACGGTTTTAAAATTTACGAAAGTGTAACGGTTACATTCCTTTTGGGACGAATGACTTTTTTAGAGTTTGGTTTTTTAATTTCTATTATTTCTTCCTTGTCTTCTTTGTTACTGTGGTTGCTGATAAAGCTGTTAGGTTTCGGTTTTTCATTTTCTTTTACTCTACCTTCTATTATTTTTTGTAAATCTGCATCCGTCTTTATCATCAACCATTTCTTGTATAAATTTCTACTTGCTTCTAATATCTTCTGTTTCTCTTCTTCTTGCTTTTTCTTCTTTGCCTCTTTCAGCATTCTCTTTTCGTCTAACTTTGCTTCTTCCCTCTTCTTTTCGTTCCATAGACTAATAGCCCTTTCATTTAACTTAATTCGTTTTGCCTCCTTTTTCTTTTGTTTCTTTATTAATCTTTTTTGTTCCTTTTCGGCTTTTTTAAGCTCTAGATTCTTCTTCCGCGTCCATTCGTTAATTATTTTTCGTTTTTGTTTCGCAGTTAATTCTACTACTTTTACTTTCTGATTTACTTTATCTTTAACGGTTTTTTGCATTTTTTTCTCTAATACATTTTTTGGTTGTTTTTGCATTTTGTTCTAGTTTTTTATTTGGAATAAAGGGATACTATAATTTGGTAATTTAATTTTGACAACTGAAATGATTAAACTAAGTGTCGAAAGATACGGATTTTATTATGAAATATTTACATAAGGTTACTTGATTTTAATTTTATCTTAGGTACCAATTTATGAAGACTAGTGATAGTCCAGGGCATTTAGATCAAAATCACCCGAATGGCGGAACTTTGCTCATACACCAGATATCGAGATGCGGTTTTCTGCATTGTGTTCAGGAAGGTCCAGGAAAAAAAGTTTACATGGTCTGGTTTGGCGCGTTTTTGAAAAAATGCCTTCTGGGCCGGAAAATGCATTTTCCAATTGCATCATAACTTGCTCCATTATAGGAACGACTGGAAACTCGGAAAAATCGCTTGGAAATCATTATTTGGGTGATTTCGGGGCTGCCAAACTCTATTCTGGCATTAGAATTACCCGGGGGGGCACGGGGGTGGCTATGTGAGGGTGCGCGGGAGGTGAATTGGGGGAAAAATGGCAGCGTGCATGAAAGTCGCTCCAAACTCGTTACTCGAGGGTTTTCGGGGATGCCGAATTCAATTCTGGCACTAGACTTCCCCGGGGGTATGAATAATAAAAATTTAGATTAAATTTTAAATAAATATATGTGGCTTCCCCCAAACAATATTGAACATTCTCGAACATTCCTGTCAGGATATAGTCAGTAACTCTGCATTATATATTTATTTCGTTGTTTGATAATTTTCCTTGATGATTGACAGTAAGATATTTAAATAATTGAACAGAAGAAATACAAGTGATGATTAATTACCTACATATAAATTTAATATTGGACATTAGCGCGGAATATATTTATAGATAACGCTATATTTATTAAAAATATATTATAAAAAAATTAAATAATAATAATAATATACCACACAAGATAAATGTTACTTAGGTATAAATAAAAATATAGCAAAAAAATTATTAAATATTTTCTTTTAATGCGTCATTCCAATATTTGGGGTTATTCAATATTTCCAGTCTTCATATCTTTGATTTATTATGGTAAATGTCTTGTACTTTCGTCGTTCCTTTACCTCTTGTTGTAGTTTTTTCCTACTCATTTCCCTTTCTTTCATCTCGATCCACTTTAACATAGATTTTTCTTGTCTTTTCAGTGTTCGTAATCTCTTTTTTTCCATATTCCTTTGTGCAGCTTCTTCGTGGAGTTTTTTCTGATTTTTACGTTCATCTTGAAATATTTTCCAATCTCTAATTAGATCTTCCTTTTCTTTTGGATCGAGATTACGAATTACTTTGAGTGGTAAATATGACATAGGTTGTCTAAGGCCATTAAAATTGGATGGTTTTTCAATTTTTTGCATTAGACCCAAAGGTATTCTTTGTTAAAAAGAAGGATTTTTTATTATGAAATGTTTGACTTAAATTTTGATGAACGACAGTTAGATGTTTTATTTGTCAAATTGTGGAGACAGGGTTGTCTTTAAAAAACTTAAAGGCTTCAGATAAATAATAAATAGTTATACAGCGTGACCTCATGTAAAACTAATTGCACTAAGCTATTTGCATGTTCCTAGATGAGTACTATGACAATTCATTGTAGATATCCCTATAATTGCCACAATTTATCGAACCAATAAATAGGTTTAACAATGCATTAAATGTAAAATAAGAATATAAATATAGCCCAGCAATTGTATCCCATACGATCTATTCCGACAACAAAAGTGCAATTGATTTTTTAAAAAACTCCATTCACCATGCCCGAACTGAGGAAGAATAATTAGACCAAGAAGTGGAACTTTTGTTAAAAATGTTTAACAAGCAGCTGAGGATAAAGGCAGAGTGAAAGGTAATAATTATTTAAAATAAATTAAAAATCTTATGGCAAAAAAAAGGAAAATTAGAAGAAAATGGCAACAATCTAGAGCAACAAATGATAAAACTTAAATAATGTATCATAAAAGCTAAAACGAGAAATACGGCGCATTAAAAATGAGTCGATAGGCGAATAGTTAAGTAAATGAACTAAATACCGATTATTTATTCTGAAAAGTTACCAAACGATTAAAAAGACATACATAACCCACCATTCAAAAATGTAGATGGAAGCTGGACCCGAAACAATTTGCAAAATGCTAACAGATTTGGGAAACATTTAGATAGTACCTTTCAGTCCAAGAACAAGAAGACACAGCCGTTAAACGTACCCCTTCAAAAGAGGTCTATATGGAAATTCAAACAAATATAAATTCGAAATTTGATCTCATTACTGGGGAAATCTTGAAAATGTTTTCACAAAATAAACAATCTTATCAATACTTCCTCTAAACTAAATAACGTCCCAAAGATGTGGAAGGTGGCAGAAGTTATAATGATATCTAAGCCAGGTAAACTTTCCCATACAGTAACATTGTACAGACCAATCTTCTTATTACATATGATTTCGAAACTCTATGAAAAATTGCTTCTTAAGAGATTGAAAAACACTCAACCATAGATATCATCAAAAAGTCCCTTAAAGAAAAAAGGTTTGCTTTTCCGTCTTTTTAGATATGGCTCAGGTTTTTGACATAGTATGGCATGAAGGCAGGATTAAAAAACTGAACATGTTCCTACCACGTCGATTTTCTGAACTATTAAAATCCTATTTATAAGAAAGGTATTTTAGAATTAGACAGGAAAAAGCCTATTTTGATCTAAGAGAATTTAAGGCAGGAGTACCTCAAGGTTGTGTACCAAGACCTATACTCTACTTGTTTTATACCAGATATATTCCTAATCTTGAGTCTAATACTATCGCAACATTGGCTGATGATATTAAAATCCTTGAAAAAAATACAAAGACCCTAATAGAAAGTTGCAAAAATATAATGACCAGAACACCTGGACGAAAAGCTGGCGAATAAAATTTAATGAAGGCATATCTCTCCATATCAAATTCAACAATAAACCAAATGAATATATTCGTATTAAACAAAGAATAAAAACTCGAAATCAATACCATATCACACAATAAATACAAGCACGACTAGTTTCGGCCTCATAGGTCTATCTTTAGACCTAAAATACGTTCAATTCTACTTTAAGATAGGAAAGAAAAATTAAAGTAGTAAGTACTCACTTACAAATAAATAACTCGTTAACAGTTGTATGTAGTAAGTAACATGGATCCATACTGTAAAGGATGTAATAAAAATGTATAGCTATTTGTTATTTGAAAGTAGAAAGGTGTGGAATGCAAAACTTAAAAACTAGTAAATAAAATAATTATTATATAAGAGATGGCAAGAGATTCTTATTCCAAGAAAGATTGACCGTTACTTCAGGTGGTCGGCTAGATGTGTTCCAGTGCATGAAATTATTAAAAAGAAACGCAAAGAGCTTGGTATAAAACACAAAAGAATGTATTGGTTGCTACAAAAAAATCCAAATCCAAAAATCAACATACAGCAAACAGCTTCTTTACAAATATTGAAACCCATATGGTCGTATAGTATTCAGCTTTGAAGCTGTACCAGTAAAAACAACATCGAATTTATTCAACGTTTCCAGAATAAAGTATTATAAAACCTCGTTGATACACCCTGGTACCGCCGCAATACTTTTTTTCATAGGAACTTTAAAGTGAAGGCTGTTAGAAACATAATAGAAAAATTTGCCAGTACAAGAAGTCACCAACAACGACTGCTCCAACATGGGAACGTTGATGTTATCGAGCTTCTCAACAATACCAATCTAATAAGAAGATTCAAGAGGACTAAGCCTTTTAAGGTAGTTTCGTGATGTTAAAGTATATTGCGGTTTATTATTATAAAGGGTGACTTTTTTAGAGGTATAGAACTTTGAATTTAAATAAAACACACTAATGGGGGGTGGGTGGCTCAGTGGTAGAGCCTCTCCCTGTGGATCCAAGGGTCCCAGGTTCGAATCCCACCGTTGGCCGGAATTTTTTCATTTAATTTAATTATTTAAAATTAATTCTGATGCCTTGGTAGGATTCCCCACTCGACCATTCACTGTTGGGTTCTAATTAACAGTGCTGTTCCTAAAGTGGCGCTGGGAAACAGTAACATAGCCTACACAGAACACGAGGAGAAATAACCTTAGCAGTTGAAGCCGATGATACACACAAAAAAACACATTAATATCACTAATAGGCCATCGTATTTATTTTATTGGAATGTTTATTGTACGCCATCAGTGCTTAAATATTATTTTGGGCATATGGCCGCCACGGCTGTCTCTAACGAAACGTAATCTGGAAGGCCAATTGTCGACCACTTTTTGAAGCAGCAGGGGCCTTATATCGCCAATAACGCATCGTATATTGGCTCCCAGATGGTCCAACGTCAGTGGTTTATCAGAGTAGACTTGTGATTTGACATACCCCAACAGAAAATAATCCATAGGTGTGAGATCACACGAACGTGGAGGCCAATTGACGGGTCCGTTACGTGAAATTATGAGAACATCAAATGTTCCCTGCAATAAATTGATAGTCTCGCGCACTGTATGACATGTTGCGCCATCGTCTCCGGATTAATACCATTTAACTGGGAAATAAAAAAGTCAGCAATAATTGATCTATGGACCAATGATTCCACCAGCCCATAAAGCACACCAAACAGTTAGCTTCTGTGGATTTAACGGAGTCTTAATAATCGCTTCTGGGGTTTCTGCACTTCAAATCCGGCAGTTTTGCTTGTTGACATAGCCGTTGAGCCAAAAGTGAGCCTCATCGCTAAACAAATTTTTTTTATGGAAATCATGGTCAACAGAAATCTAATTATTTTCGTTCCATTCACCGAACGTACGACGAAGAAGACGGTCACGTGGCTTCAGTTCTTGCACGAGTTGGATTTTGTAAGCTCGTAAACCAAGATACTTCTGCAGAATCTTTCATAAGGTGGACGGACACAGCTCCAATTGTTGTGCACGACGACGAATCGACTCATTCGGGTCGACCTGAACACTACACTTCGATCCACAGCAACAATACCTTCTTTGGTGCGCACTTATACGTCTCTGCGGTGCACATTATCAACTAGAGTATACGTGGTGCGACAACGATTTATGGTTAGTCGTATAACTTGCACAGATGGACCATTATGTCGACCGTAAAATGGTCATAGCACGCGGTAAGTTGCACGAACTGAACCACGATTTTCGAAAAAAATTTGCACAATTTGCCAGCGTTGTTCCGGCGAAAGTCTATCCATGGTGCAAATGCAAGCAATACTGAGCACAAAGCACCTATCGTCGTACAAATTGACTTTCACTAGACGCGGTGTTGCCAAGTCGAAAAACAAACCTCTAAAAAAAACACCCTTCACGTGAACAGTAGTTTAACTAAATAATTAGACTCTAAATTACATTGAGTTTATGAAGTTTTTTATCCCATACCATTGCTAATTAATTTTAATGATCAGATTGTAATAATCGTGAATGCTTTACTTAAGGCATTTATTAAAAAAAAAAAAAAAAATTGCCTGAACCAAGCACATCGATATACAGTATTATTTTGCCAGCGATACTGTAAGAGAAGGGAAGATAGAAGTTGTGAAGGTCTCTAAAAATTAGCAGCAATAATTGGTGTCTGAAACAAATAAGGTGAAACAAAGACAGATTTATCATTAAGTAAGGATGTTAATAGCTGAGCATACTAACTTGTTCGTTTTGAGACTCATCTTAATGAATTTAACTTTTATATGTTTTCTTTTAAGCCTTTCATTGCCACGCACGCGAATTAACGTGTGGCAGGTACCATCTCACATGCCAATAACTTAAATTCGCCGCGTAAAACCTAATTTTACTTTGAATTGAGATTATTTAGTTGGCATTTCAAACAGAGAAATAGAGTGAGTGGCATGTTATTATATTTGTATATTATATGTATGTAGGTAATGTTGGTTGCCATATATGATGCTTAACAAAAAGGTTTAGCTCAATCTCCAAACAGGCGATGGCGCTTTTGTAGTTATACCTTCGAGCATAATATATGCTCAAAGAGTTATACATACGTCTGCCATGGCTACTTTGTGGCGTTACAGATAGAGAGCGGTAAATTTCTTGTACTTAGTGTAGTTGGATGACAGTTAATTAAAAGAATGTACACTCCGCGTCATATAAAAGTGGTACAACTCTTATAACGTAAAATCATGTTTTTCGAGCTGTGTAAATTGATCTTTTAGAATGTGTCTATGTTAAACTATTTTATAGGCTATACATTTTAGGACAACGTTGCCAGCACAACGAAAATATTAGTAGAAGTAAATAAATTTTGTAAAGAAATAAAACGTACTGGAAAAATAAAAAAGGTATTTCAACATTAATGCAAAAAGAATAACTTAAATATTTATAATTAATAAGCGTGAAATTTAAATACATAAGAGAATTCGAAACATAAGAAATAAATAGATTAATATCTTGTCATAGCTCCATTATTATTTATAACTTCTTCTAATCTTCTGGGCATTGAATTGAATAAATTTATTG